GGGGCACAGAAAGCGAAGTGCACACGCGCGCGTCGCCGCGCGCGCACGCCGAAATCCTTCAAATCCCCCCTTGTCGTGAGGATCTCGAAATCTAGTGCCACAAAATCGTGTAAAAGCACATGGCTTCGCAACGCTGGCTTTCAAGGAAAGCTTGCGCTCCCATTTACGAATTCTTAAGCAAACCATTTTTCCAACAAGAAAAGAAAAAACAACTTCTCCGAACGTGCTGCCCAACGGGCCTCGCGCGCCGGTGTCGGATTCGTTCGAACGCCATTGCGCGCGTGTGCCGTCGCAAGGATCCTTTGCAATAGATGGGGCGAAGTGCGCGCGCGCCGTCGCGCGCGCGTGCCGGAACTCGTCGAAAACCGTGGGTTTCGTAGCGATTTCGAAACCGAGTGTTCAACACACATACGGAACACATGGTTTCGCAACATCAGTTTTCAAGAAAGCGTGCGCTCGCGCTCTTGCGAATCTTAAGGGAACGAACCGTCGGTTCTTCAACATGTTCATTGAATTCTGCCTAGCGGGTCTCTGGCGCCGCATGCTGAAACCATTCGCACTCTCTTGCGCGCGTGCTGGGGGGGGGGCACGACCCGCGTCAATTGACACCGTGCGGGCCACTCTCGCGCGTCGGCCGCGCGCGCATGTCGAACTCTTTCCAAGACTTTCGTCGCGGACGCGAGGACGCCGTCATCGTTGTCGGCTCGATCAGCATCTGCGCCGTCAGTGGCCGCGCCGTCGTCGCTGTCAGCATCGCCGCCAGCATCGCTAGTATCATCGCCGCGTCTAACCGTTGTCGACGTTGCCATGACACCGCGCCCGCCCAAGTCGCGGACCCCCACTGAAGTTCCCGCTGGGATGCTCCCCGCGGCCAGCGCTATCGCGGCCGCAGAGGTGCACCAGCCAGCGCCAAGCACTCATCGCAAGTGCCGCCGCATTGAGTGTTCAAGCCAAGTTGCGGGTGGGCGGGTGGGATGTTTGCGCGAGCAGTGGAGTGGACATTTTCAAGTTGAGCATTAGTGGACCGCGCAGCGTTGATTGCACCGCGTAGAGTGCATTACATAGGTCACATCGCATACATTCTTGTTTCTTAAGAGAGGATATTTGTACCCCCCGGGATTATCCCTCCCCCCCTGTTCGTATGGCAATTTACATACAGTTCCGCTCCATCGTCCATCCGAAGCATGAACTCATGCCATCCCAGCCCAGCCGGTATCGACCCTCCCCCTGCCATCCTCTGCGGCAAATGCAATTCGCGCGCACTCGTCTATCAAACGTCTTCAGTTGTGAAGAACCCCTTGCAAAACAGCAAGGCGAAGTGCACGCGCGCACGTCTTCGCGCGTGCATGCCAGAATATGTCAACCACCATCGATTTCGTAAGGGTTTCACAAGACGAGTGTCCAAACATATAAACCAAGGTTTCGCAACGATTCTCTTTTTTTTTACATGTATGTATGTATGTATGTATGTATGTATGTATATGTATATGTATATGTATATGTATATTTGTATGTGTATGTATATGTATATGTATATGTATGTGTATATGTATATGTATATGTATATGTATATGTATATGTATATGTATATGTATATGTATATGTATATGTATATGTATATGTATATGTATATGTACATGTGCATGTACATGTATATGTATATGTATATGTATATGTATATGTATATGTGTATGTATATGTATATGTATATGTATATGTATATGTATATGTATATGTATATGTATATGTATATGTATATGTATATGTATATGTATATGTATATGTATATGTATGTATATATATGTATATATATAGATACAAGATTGCAGTGGCGCTTCGCGCCATGCACCTTGGTCCCTGAAGATTGCTACGCAGGTGGAAAAGGCAGGAAGGTCAAGCGGACACTTTAACGAAAACTCCTTGCTGCCTTTTCTGGCATCGCCATTATGATAATGTTGTTCGTTATCTTGGCTCCATGCTTATTATTCCTCATTCTCGCCATACCCTGGGCATTCTCCCCATCCTCCTCAGCTCTTTTTGCGGAGGGTCCTCCTTGGAGAGCTTTTGGGGGCTTCACCAAAGTTCTCAAGCTTTCCTAAGCTTTCTGGAGGCCTCCTGGGCGTGTTCTGGGGGCCTCTGGGGCTTCCTGAGGGCAACATGCATTTAACCGCGGTCTCCCTGAACGCCCCGGTCACGATTTGGAATGCTTCGGAGGATGTCTTGGGGCCATCTTGGGCCGCCATGGGGCTCTCTTAGGGCCATTTTGGACCCGTGGTGCGCCGTTTTGGGGCTCTCTTGGACTGCCTTGAAGCCCTTTCGGATGGCTGTGGGGCGGTTTTGGAGTCTTCCAGGCGACTTCGGACGCCCAGAAGACCGCTGTCTTGGAGCGTCGGGAAGCCGAAAAGATGAGAACCCCAAATTCACCAAAAATCTACATTAAATCCATTATTTGTCCCTCTTGGGGCCTTCTTGGCGGTGCTCTTGGAGGCCTCTTGGTACGTTTTGGACCGATCTTTCGGGGTATGCCGGCTTCTTGGAGCGCTCTTGTGCTGTCCTCGGGTTCTCCAGGACGTCTCCGATGACCCCCCTGATCGCCCTAGGAGTGCTGCGAAGGCTCGGCAAAACGCCCTGCGAGGCCCAGGGGGCCGCTTTGAGGCCCGTCCGAAGGGCCCCAAAGCCCCAGATCCCGGGAGTCCGTTTTTTTTTGGGGGGGGGGGACGGGTTTTCCCCCCGCCCGGGCTCATAAAAATATAGGAAGAGGAATATGTGTATATATACATATATGTATATATATATATATATATATATATATATATATATATATATATATATATAGTTTGCGCGCGCTGTCGCGATTCTTTACGAAATCCAACGGTCTCCAACATCTTCATCACATGCTACCGAAAAGGACTTCGCGCGCGCATGCCGAAATCGTTCGAACGCCCTTGCGCGCGTGCTGTCGCGAGAATCGTGCGCAACAAATAGGACGAAGTACGCGCGCGCGTCGTCCCGCGCGCATGCCGAAATCTTTCGATCACCCGAGGTTTCGTCCGGATTTCAAAGCCACGTGTCCCGAAACCATACACACATGGTTTAGCAACATCAGTTTTCAAAAAGCTTACGCGCGCGCTCTTGCCAATTCTGAAGACAACTATCGGTATTACAGCAATGTCATTGAATTCTGCCCAGCGGGCCTTTCGCGCCCCATGCCGAAAGCATTCGAACGCCCTTGCGCGCGCGCTGGAAGCCCGATCCGCGTCAAATGATACCACGCGGCCTCTCTCGCGCGTCGGCCGCGCGCGCATGTCGAATTCCTTCCAAGACCTGCATCACCGACGCGAGGACGCTGTCATCGTCGTCGGCGCGATCAGCATCTGCGCCGTCAGTGGCCGTGCCGTCGTCGCTGTCAGCATCGTCGCCAGCATCGCTACTATCATCATCGTGTGTACCGTTGTCGACGTGGCCATGATACCGCGCCCGCCCAAGTCGCCGACTGGCACGTAAGTGCCCGCTGGGATGTGCCGAGCGGTCAGCGCCACGGCGGCCGCGTCGGTCGCGCCAAACTAGCTGGCCGCTGCGCGCGCGTGCGTGCGCGGGCTGGCGCGGCCGCAGAGATGCACCAACCAGCGCCAAGCACTCATCACAACCGCAGCCGCATCGGGTTTGCAGACCAAGTTACGGGTACTTGGGTGGGGTGATTGCGCGAGCAGTGGAGTGGACATCTCACTGCGAACATTTCTTGCTTGCACCACATAGAATGCACCGCGTAGACAGCAACAACCTATTGTTTGGGGCCCGCGATGCCTAACATGAATTGGTGGGTGAGGGCCCACCGCTCGCATTTGCCGGAACCCCTCGGCCGCCAGCGGCCAAGCCCAGCCTTTGCGCTGGGCTTGCCCACTCGCCGCCCCGGGCCGGTCCGCGCGCGGCACTTTGCTGCCGCTCCGAGACAGTATACGCTTATTTCATTTGTCAGGGTTTCATCGCACTGTACTTTAGCTGTTGTTTCCTTTTCTTTTCGCCCCCTCCCCTTCCTCCGCATTCCCTCCCCTCACAATTGGAGCTCGTGTGGGTCCTCCTGCGCGCCCCGCGGTTTCAGGACCTCCGCTTCCGCGAGCTCTCGTCCCGCTTCGCCTTTTCGCCCCGCTCCTTCCCCGCGGGCAGTTCTACTGTGTTGGACGTCGCGTGCCTTGCGGCCTCGCGCCTTCTTGTTGTCTCCTCGCCCCGCTTTGTCTTCCCAGCGGCCGAGTATCACGGCTATTTGTTGGTGCCGGGAGATCGAACGCCATGCACCCGCTCTTCTGTCTCGCACTGCGGCGCAGCATGGCTGCTGTGATGTGCAGCGCCCGAGGTTGGAAGGATCATGTTGGCGGTTCGTCTGCTGGTGCCGTTGTCGGCTTGCGTGGTGTCGTTGTTGCTTGTCCCAGCGGCGTGGTTGTCGGTCTGCGTTGTAACGTGCTATGGCAGTAGTGTGGTGCCGTTGGCTGGCGAAGTTTTGATTTGTGGCTGCTGCTGCTGCTCCTCCTCACCCCAGCTCCTTCTTCTTCTTCTTCTGATTATTACTATGATTCCTCGTATTCGTCTTCTTCTTCGCATGGGTTCCTTGTTTACTCCTCACGCTCGCCCTGGCATCATGCTTTCCGCCTCCCAGGAGTCAGCTCCATCAAACATGGTCATGGGGCTCGGCACCTACAGCCGAAAAGGTAGGCGACCGAACAGTAACCAGTGATAGAACATGTTCCCGATTTTTTTGACAGAAACGTAGTGTGAACGACATTGTGACCGAATGGGCATCGCTTTGGTTTCGAACCGAGAAGCTCGATCACACCCTGACGCGTTCAGACAATTTCGGGCGCCAGTTCTGGTCGCACTCGGGCAGATTTTCTGGCACAGTTTCGGTCACTACACCTCCCTGATCGACACGAGGCTGCGTGAACATGGACGGTCGTACCGGCGAAATGCATCCAAAGAACGGGAGATAGCATCGTGCCCCTCGCCAGGTGTGGAGCTGACCATCCTGGGCTCCGGCTTCAGCTCAGTGCCCAGCGAGAACTTCGTTACAGTAGGCTCGCGGGTCTGCCCTGTGTCGACGGCTCGGTGTCTGCCAATCGCAGGGACGCCGCAACGGGATGACCTCCACGTCTTTCCGATTCAGCGTTAGGCTGGGCATGTCCCCCTACATGCGGATTTTAGGCGAAAAATGAAGAATTGTCAAAACATATAAAAATAACTAACAAATTGTTAAAAAATCGTCCCCAGACTATTTTTGGACTATTTTTGGATATTCCTCCTGTAGAGGGACAGGCCCGCCTTAAATTCAGTGGGGCCGAGCTTTGCTCTCACCCTTGGGAGGGACAGCTTGGCGCTCGGGAGCTCTGTCGATAGCCCTGGCAATCTGGCGAGCACCCTCGGATCGGGCGAGAGACTTCTGGGGAGCCAGCTCCGGGTGCGTTCGCTTTGGGCCGGAGGCTGCGAGTGCTCGCGGTGGAGGTGCATTTCTTGTTCCAGGAGGAACATTCCAAATATTTTTAAAAATCGTATCATAGCGATTTGTTCGACTATTTCGGGCTATGTCTGAAATCTTTGTTCTCTATTTTTGATTTGTCCTCCAAAATCCGCCTGAGCGTCCGAAGCCCTAGGCTCCGTAGGGAGCATTTCTTGCTGTCCCACGGTTGCTCTTTCGAGGTTGTCGCCCTCCCTCTCGGGTCCCGCGCGTTCTCTGCTGCAAGTTGACGAAGACGAGCTCAGGGGATAAAGTGGGACGTCAAGGGAGCGACGGTCAGTATCGTTTAACCCACCCCCCATCCCCATCACCATCCCCTTCGAGACCCCCACCAAATTACCCCCCCAGTTGGGGATGCACCCCGCGAAACCCGAAGGGGACAGCCTGTATCCCCTTATCTAGGGGGGTCAATTGGCCAGTGGGGCCCAGGTCACGCCCGTGGGGATAGGGATCGGACAGACGATGCTCTGACGAGAAAAACGGGGTCGTCTGCGCCGACCTTGGCGCGGAAGCTGCCCGCGTGGGGTCGCGCGTACGCGCTCCCGTCTCCAGTGTGGCGTGCCGCGCTCGCGGCCCGCGTAAGCCTCCGCGTGAGGTCGTTGTGCCATCTCGCGTGAGACCCGCTTCTGATCGTCGCTCGAGTAAGAAACCGTCCTGCAAGCAGGTGCCCCACGCCAGCGTCTTGTCCCACAAGGGGCCACAGGGGGCTCGCAGGAGCCCCAGGGCACCTCGGGAAGCCCAGATGAGCCACAGTCTCCTAGAAAGCAAAGGAGTTATCGTCCGTGTCTACTGTGCGGGCTTGCTTCGTCGGGTTGTGCTCTGGGAATCGATGCTGCCCACGAGACTGTCCGACTCGCCTCGGCTCTGGTGGATCGCGCGGTCGGCGCGGTCCGCCGCTTGATCGGTCTGAAGCTTTGCTTGTGCTCCGACTGGCTGGCCGGCCTTGCCTCAGTCGGAGGCTGCCAGAGGTGCTCCTGGCACAGAGTGGTCCCAGCTTCTCGCGCCATCCTGGCAACCAGGATGAGGATGAGGAGGAGGAAGAAGGGGAGGAAGAGGAGGATCACGATTTTCGTGACGATGATGCTGATGATGGTGACGATGATGATAATGCTGGTGATGATGAGGATGCTTATGATGATGATGACGTGTATGCAGATGGTGCTGATGACGATGATGATGATGATGATGATGATGATGATGATGATGATGATGATGATGATGATGATGGTACTTATGATGATGCTGATGCTGATGATGGTGGTAGTGCTGACGATTCTGGCGATGATGATAGTGGTGGTGGTGACGATGACAATGCTGCTGCTGATGATTTGGATGATGCTGATAATGATGGCGTTAGTGATTACGATAACATTGATGGTGACAGTGGTGGTGATGTTGATGGTGCTGCTGCTGATGATGGCAAGCATGTTGATGATTATGATGGTCATGATGGTGATGGTGATGATGATGATGAGGAGGAGGAGGATGATGATGATGATGATGGTGGTGGTAAGGATGACAATCATGGTGATGATGATAGTGGTCGTGATGACGATGACGATGCTGCTGCTGCTGGTGCTGATGCTGATGCTGATGCTGATAATGATGATGATGATGATGATGATGATGATGATGATGATGATGATGATGATGATGATGATGATGATGATGATGATGATGCTGATTATGGTGATGATGATGCTGCTGCTGCTGATGATGATGATGGTGACGGTGACTGTCGGGCTGACGATAATGGTGATGATGCTGGTGGTGGTGCCGACGATGCCGATGTTGCTGCTGATGATGCTATTGATGGTGACGATGATGACGATGATGATGAGGATGATGAGGATGATGATGAGGATGCTGCTGATGGTGGTTGTAGTAGTGACATCATTAAGATAATCATAGTGGTGGTGATGACGCTGACGATACTGTTGCTGATGATGCTGATGGTGATAATGAGGATGACGATGAGGATGATGGTGCTGATGATGATGATGATGATGATAGTGGGTGTAGTGCTGACGATCATGGGGATGATGATAGTGGTGGCGATGACGATGGCGATGCTGCTGCTGCTCATGGAGGTGAAGATGGTGATGCGGATGATGCTGAGGAGGATAAATATGATGGGGGTGGTTGTGATGACGATGATGGCGATGATGCTCGTGGTTGTGATGACGATGATGCTGATGCTGATGCTGATGCTGATGATGAGGATGATGATGATGATGATGATGATGATGATGATGATGATGATGATGATGATGATGATCGTGATGACGTTGATGAGGGCGGTGGTGGTGGTAGTGATGACGACCATGTTGATGATGATCGTGGTGGTGATGACGATGACGATGCTGCCGCTGGTGAGAGCACAGTGGCTATGAACATAGTGTGGAATGGCCGCGATCCGCGCTCAAGTTCTGTGGGCACAAGCGCGCCCGCTTGAGCAGTCTAGGAGTGCCTCCTCGACGAAGGCCTTGACTCGCCCCGATGCGACTGGGGCGATCTCCTGGGTGGCTTCCCAGGAGTTATCCTTCTACACCTCGCCTTATTCGAGATGGAGCCCAAGAAGATCATGGCGTTCCATTTCTGCGTGATCAAGCAGTATCGTGGACTTTTCAGCGAGGGCAATTGGACCATCAAACTGAAGGCAGGCAACTACTGCAAGAGCTACGGCGAGCGCACCTGCGCCGACGACGAAGTGCTTGATCTCATGGAGGCCAACGGCAACCATTCCGAGGAGCCCACCGTCGCGGAGTTCATCGAGCTCTGCGTCAACGGCCGCACGGCCAAGACCGGGAAGTTGGCCTCGAAAGGCACCAGCAGGTACCTGGAGGGCGGCAAGGAGGTTGGCTGCAGGCTGGTGGACCAGCGCTTCTGCCCGCGCATCGTGGGAGGCGAGCCGCTACAACATGGTCGCGGACGAGCTCCTGGGCATCATCCGTAAGCAGCCCAAGGAGGGCGGCATCTCGGCCGTTAGCGGTGCGGTCTCCATCCTGCACCTTCACGTGTCCGCCGACCCGGAGGTCGCGGACCTCACGGAGTGCTTCCTCAACGAGGACCCGGAATTCGTGATGTTGGCGGTGGGCCTGGCCTCGGAGCCAGAGCCGACCCCACTCGTCGGCGACCACCGACTTTTTCACTGGCCGCGCGGGGCGGATGCCCGGCGTCGGAGGAGGAGTGGGTCGAGGGCGAGCCCGACTGCTCTTGCGCGGGCTTCTTCGAGTGCCTGCCTGGCTGCTGCACCGACGACGCGCCGAACGCCTGCCACGCCGACGTCCCGAAAGAGCACCTCGTCGACGCGGACAACCACGGCATCCTCATGGGCATCATGGCGTCGAAGATCGGTGGCCAGGAGCTCTCTTCCTCCAGGCCTGTCGACATCGCGCCGCTCACCTGCATCGCTGGGGGTGACCTGGGCCTGGAGCCGCGGCTGGGCAGTCCAGCGTTCAGGGGCTCCCTCATGCGGGATTGCGTGTGCAGCCAGCCCTGCGGCGGCTTGGGCATGAGCTCCAGCGATCGCCTCTACAACTCCATCCCGCTTGCCAGCGGCATGATCAGCGCGGAGCGGCCGGCTGATCCATTATGTCTATGAGGATCACGAATCATTGCTCGGGTTCTGCTCCAAGCTCGATTTCGTCTTCATGCGCTGCAGCCCATGGCAGACCAACGACGACGGCGGCAACCAGGGCAAGTGCGACGATGGCCTGCGCCTCATACGCAAACGCGGGATCCAGGTCTGGCTGTCTCCAGACGTGATGGAATTCATGGGGGCCAACGACGCGCCGTCTAAGGTGGCCTGTATGAGTACCTGCCTGGAGGGTGCCTACTTGCTCTACGATCCCGTTGAATTCGCGGCCACTTTCAAGCAGACCATGGCCTCCCAGCCCCGCGCGACGAAGTAGAGCCGCGGTTCCTCTGGAGGGGGCATCTGGATCATCAAGTTGAAGAACCGGCAACTACGGCAATACATGCGGCGAGCGCGCCTGCACCGATGACGATGCTCTTGACCTCGTGGAGGCCAACGACAACCGCTCCGAGGTGCATCCGGGAGCTGAGCTCATTGAGGTCTGCGTCCACGGCGGCGCGCCCAAGCCCTGCGCCTGGGCCACCATGGGTACTGGCAAGTACCTGGAGGGCGGCAGTGCGGCTGGAGGCGTGCTCGCCGACCATCTTCCGCCCGCGCATCGCGGGGGTCGAGCTGCGCTACGACACGATTCGTGGACGCGCTGGCCGGCATCATCCACGGGAGGCCAAGGGAGGGCGGCATCTCTGCCGCTGGCGGCACGAGCTCGAGCTACGCGCCCCATGGCCCCGGGGAGCCCAAGTTCCCGAACTTGACCACCCACTTCCTGGCCAAGGACCTGCCGTGCGTGATGCCGGCGCTGGGTCTGCCCTTGGAGCCGTTCCACCTGTGGTGGGCCACCGACCCCATCCTGGCTTCGCCGGAGGGGCCCCCCGCCTCGGAGGAGAAATGGGCTGCTGGCGAATTCGCCTGCTCCTGCGTTGGCATCTCCAAGTGCCTGGCAGCCTATCGCAAGGACGGCGCGCCGGTGGCGTGCTACGCCGATATCGCTGTGGAGGATCTGGCCGAGGCGGACCGCTACGGTCTCCAGCTGGGCGTCGTGGCGCACTCCATCCTCTCGCGGCCAGCGCCGTCCCTCGGTCTGGTGGACGTCCTGGGCATCGCCCGCGTCGCCAGGGGCGACCTCCCGCAGTCTGCCGACCCCAAGTTTAAGGGCGCCCGGTGCTGGACCTATGTGCTCAGCACGGCTTGCGGCGGGTCCGACAAGAGCACCGGCGGCCACCGTTGCGACTTCATTCCGATCGCCGACGGCATGATCAGCGTGGGCATGAGCTGCCCGCTGACCCACTAACAATGCAAGGAGCACGCGTCAACGCGTGGCTACCGATCGTCTGCGACCCCAGCTGCCTCGCAGGCGCGGGCTGCATCGAGGGCAGCCCCTGCCGGCTTTCCAGCGCAACAACAACCTCCGCCACGCTGGACTGCTCCAAGGTTCTGGGCATCAGCGCGGGGCTTCCGATCGTCTACAACCCTGGCTGCCCCGCAGCCGTGGCCTGCTTCGAGGGCAGCCCCTGCCCCGCCGTTGTGGCGGCGCGCCCCCGGCGCAGACGGCGGCGGCAGCTTCCGAGCCCGGCAGCGCAGCGGAGTGCTGCGCGGGCCAGGCACGAATGAGGGGCTGCCGATCGTCGACGACCCCAGCTGCCCCGCAGGGGTGGGCTGCTTCGAGCACTATACCCCTGCCGGTGTGCGAGTGGCCCAACTACAACCACCACGAGTGCAGCCACAACCACCGCCAAGCTGGACTGCTCTTGGGTGCCAAACATCAGCGCGGGGTTGCCGATCGGAAGTGCGCGAGGCCTTGACTTCCTCATCGTGCGCAACAGCCTGCGCCGAATCAGGGCCGGCGGCGGCGACCAGGGCGCGTCCGACAATCGCGCGCGCGCCAGGCGCGACCCAGGGATCCCGGGGCGGCGGCCGCCCCTGGGCTCGATGGAAGTCATGGTCGGCAGGGGGGCGCTCTGCAAGGTCGCGCGCGTGATTATCGGATTGGAGTGATTGGAGGGAACGCTCTCGCTCCACGACCTGGCGGATTTCGCGCCGGGCTTCGAGGAGACGATGGCGTTCCAGCCCCAGGCGATCAACCAGAGCCGCGGTTCCTCGGGCGATGGCTGCTGGATTATCGAGCTGAAGGCGGGCAGAGGGGGCTTCGCGCACGGCGAGCGCTCCTGCGCGGACGGCGAGGTCCCCGATCTCATGAAGACCAACACCAACCGCGCGGATGAGCGCGCCGTCGCCGGGCCCATCGAGTTCCGCGCCTGCGGCCCGACCGCCATCTCGGGAACATGGACCTCGAAGGGGTCGGTGAGTATCTCGAGGGCGGCAGAGGGGGCTGGATGCATGCTCGCGGACCAGCTCCGCCGCGACGCGGGCGCCGAAGCGCTCGTAGGCATCGTCCAGAAGAAGCCCAAGGGGCACGGCATCTCCGCGGTTGGCGGCGCTGGCTCGATCTGCACTGTCAACGGGCCCGGGCGCCCGAAATGCAATGACCTCAGAACGCCAGCTTCCTCGAGAAGGACCTGCCCTTCGCCCCGTCGGCCCTCGGGCTCGCCCAGGGGCCGGTCCGCAATTGGTGGGCCGCTGGTTAAGCGGAGGGCGCGCCCTCGGATGAGGAGAAGCGGATCGAGGGCGAGTTCGACTGTTCGCGCGCGGGCATTTCCAAGTGCTTCGCGGCCTACTGCAGAGACGACACGCCGAGTGCGCGCTGCCAGGACGCCGGGGGCGAGGGCGTGAAGGACCTGCAGACGCACTCCATGCCAGGCCAGCAGGCGCAGGGCATCTTCCGAAAGATGGCCCCCCCCGTCTGCGGGACTGGTGAGCGTCGCCTCGCTCGCGCGCGTCGCCAAGGACAACTTGGGCTGGCTGGGCGGGCTGGTTTGCCAGACTTACAGGGGGGCCCTCGCCGAGACGTCCGCGCGCGCCCAGCCGCGCGGTGGCTCGGACAACAGCAGCAGCGGCTACTGCTACGTTCCATTCCGTTCGCCGAATGACATGATCAACGCCAGCGCGAGTGGCCAGCTGATCCGCAACGTCTGGCAGGATCACAACCAGTTCTTCGACGCGCGCAAGGGCATCGATTTCATCATCGCGCGCGGTGACCAGGGAAAGTTTGACGGCCGCGCGCGTGGCCAGCGCAAGATGGGCATCCAGGCCTCGCGGGCGCGAATGGCGCCCAGTGCAGGGCGGCGGCCCTGAACATCGGCCCGGCCCGGAAGACGCCCCGTCGCTCCACGACTCCACGGTGTCCGACCTCGGCTTCAAGAATACCTCGGCCTTCCATCGTGCGTATTGGCGCGTTCGCGCTGAACCGCGGCTCCTCGGGCAAGGGCATCCGCGGGGGTCAGCTCCGCGTGCGACGAGCGCTCCCGCGCCGATGAAAATGCTTGACCTGATGGAGGCCAACGACAGCCGCGCCGAGGAACGCACCGTGGTCGAGTTCGTCGAGGTCTGCGTCAGCGGCCGCGCGGCCAGGTCCGGCACCTGGGCCTCCACGTGCGTGGACAAGTACCTGGGGGGCGGCAAGGAGGCCGGCGACGCGCTCGCGGACCAGCGTTTCTGCCCTCGCGTCGTTGAGGGCGAGCTGCGCTGCAACGTGGTCGGCGACGCGTTGGTCGGCATTGCCCGCGGGAAGCCGAAGGGCGGCGGCATCTCCGCGGTCAGCGACGCAGGCTCCACCCATGCGTTCTACGGCCCTGGGGGGGCGGAGTTCATGCGCCCCGCCGCCGGCTGACGGAGGACTTCGGCAGGGCCGCGCCATCGTTTGGACTGGTAGGAAAGCCGGCCCCGCTCGGATTGACCACCGACTTCATCTTGGCGGGCATTCAGGAAGGACGAGGCTTGCGCTCGCATCAGGCGAACGGAGTTCGCGCATGCGATGTAGTGAGCATGCCGACTCACCCTGGCCCACTGGGGCCCTCGCATCTGGCGAACTTGGTTCGCGAATGCGGCGCGCGTGCCGATCAGCGTTGGCCCACTGGGACGATCGCATCTGGCGAACTATGTTCACGAATGCGGCGTAGTAAGCATGCCCCTGCCCCGCTGGAGGTGGGATGCAGGCCTCATTTCCGCAATCCGCGCCGTCCCACTGGAGGTGGGATACGGGCTTTATCATCACAAGCCGCGCTGGCCAATTGGGGGAGGCAGACCAGCGCGGCAAGCTCGCGAGAGAGAAAAGCCTCTTCTGCCACATCGCGCGCGCAGGGGTCTCTGCCAGCGCGCCCCCGCTTCGTGGCGCTGTTGGCCAGCCGCGCGCGATTCGCATGTGTCCCCGCGCGCGCGTGCCAATGGCGCGACTCGCAGGGTGTGCGCGCCCCGGACCGGAGTTCGAGCTTGCGCAGAACACAGGCGCAACTGTGCCCGGCCACCCTCGTGCCTTGCATGTACCTGCGCGAGGCGGTGGCCTCCAGAATTCACCTCGACGGGGGCCCCCCTGGGTCGCGTCTAGCATCCCGCTGACTCCGCACTGGTTGTTGCCACATCTGGGGCACAGCTCCTGGGTTGGGGGCATTGGGCCTTTCGTCGCTGTTTAGTATCCTGGTAGCTGCGCTCGGCCCTAACAGGCCGTTCTGCGCCCCCCCCTGTGCCGACGCGTCTCACGAAGGTGTACTCCGCGCCTCCGTGGGTGATTCCCCGACGGCGCTCCCCATGCCCCGCATTGCAGGACCTTGGTCGGCGCTGCGGCTCGACGTGCCGCTGCTCATTTCCTGGTGGCAGCGCTCGGATCTGCACCCCGCGTCGCGCTCGTTATGGCCGCGCGGCCGACGTGTGGTCTCTGAATCCGCCAGCGGCACTTCAGGTCCGCGCTGTGTGGCTGCTGCTGTGGCCGCGCCGCCCCCTGAATTTTTTTAACAATCTAGCGCGTGCTGGCGCATTGGCGCGTAGACAAGTCCGGCTTGCTAGCCTCCAATGTTTTTCCTCCTCCTCGTCCTGCGCGGTCGTGCCGCGCAGTCGCGTTCAATTGGCAGCATGCACTGCTTCCGCGCCAGAGGTACTAGTGGTCTGATCTTTCACTCCCAGTGCAAACGGGCGAACAGCGGTGGCTAAAGCTGTTGCCAGCAGCCCTGGCAGTCTGGTCAGTCGGACTGGCCTGCGAGCGCGCGGCCGCCTGTGGCGGCCTCAGACTATTTGATGCATGGCGGATTCCTTCTCTCGCCGAATCTACACCAGCAGCGCTTGGGGCGCGAGTGAAAGACGGCTGTCGTGAGAGCGCGGCGGATATGAACATTCGATCCGCGTTCAAGTTCCTCCTCCATGGCTTCCTCCCTCTGCGAAGTACACTTGCGGATCTGTTTGGAGCTGTTTGAAGCAGCCCTGGTGGTCTGGCCAGTCGGAGTGGCATGCGCGCGCACGGCAGCTCCTGGCGGCCCGAGACTATTTAAGGCAAACCTCACACCACAGGTGTTTGAGGCGCGAATGCAAATTTGCATTCGTAATTATGCTGGTGCTGATGCTGATGATGGCGCTGGTGGTCTTGATGACGATAACGGTGATGATGATCGTGCTGGTTATTACGACGACGATGCCGTTGCTGATGAGGAACAGGATGGCGCTGAACATGATAATGATGATGATGCTGTTGTTGATGATGATGATGATGATGATGATGGTGATGGTGACGGCGGTGGCATTAATGACGATGATGGGGGTGATGATAGTGGGGGGTGATGACGATGACGCTGTTGCTACTGTTTATGACGTTATTACTGATGATGGTGATGATGGGGGTTGTGATGATGATGGTGATGGTGATGGTGGTGGCAATGATGACCATCCTCGTGATGTTGATACCAGTGGTGATGACGATGTCGATGCTGCGAATGCTGATGATGGTGAGGGTGGTGATGATTGTGGTTGTAGTGATGACGGTCATGTTTCATTCTGCTAATGGTGGTGTTGACGGGGACGATGTTCGTGCCGTTGCGGATGATGACGAGGATGCTGATGAGGATGATGAGGATGGTACTGGTAGTGATGACGGTAGTGGTGATAATGACAGTGATGGTGATGGCGATGACGATTATGATGATGGGGTGATGAGGTGATGATGATGATCGTGATGACACTGGTGGCGACACTGGCGATGAGGATCGTGGTTGTGATGGCGATGGAAATGCTACAGATGATGCTGATGATGCGGATGATGAGGAGGACGATGAGGATGGAGGTGGTAGTGATGACGATACTGGTGATGCTGGTATATGTGGTGACGGCGATGGCGATGCTGCTGCTGATGGCGATGGTGATGGGGATGATGATGACGAGGATAAAGATGAGG